CTATCTCTGTCAAATAAATAAATAAAATCTTTAAAAAAAAAAAAAAAATCTTGACCAGTCAAGAGAATAGTGATATCACTAATAGCAAGATGTCAGTTTAAAATCTGGACATGGGGGCACCTGGTTGGCTCAGTTGGTTAAGCAACTGCCTTCAGCTCAGGTCATGATCCTGGAGTCCCAGGATAGAGGCCCGCATCGGGCTCCCTGCTCAGCGGGGAGTCTGCTTCTCCCTCTGACCCTCCCCCCTCTCATGTGCTCTCTCTCTCTCTCTCAAATAAATAAATAAAATCTTAAAAAAATAAATAAAATCTGGACATGTAGCAGATGCCTGGGCTCAGTCGTTTAAGTAGCTGCCATCGGCTCAGGTCATGATCCCGGGATCCTGGGATTGAGCCCCTCGACCGTTTCCTGCTCAATGGGGAGTCTGCTTCTCCCTCTGCCTCTGCCCCTCTGGCCCTCCTCCCTGCTGCTCATGCTCACTCCCTCTCTCTCAAACGAATAGATAAAATCTTTAAAAAAATAAAATAAAATTTGGACATGTTAAACCTAAGATGAAAGTAAAAAAGAAAGATGAGAGAGGGTAGATGTGTATTTGAGTGTCATCAAAACAATTTAAGAGCTGAAGTCATGAGAGTGAATGTTTGTGTATATGTGTACGAAAATCACTGAGGAGAAAGTCTTGGGGAACACATGCATTTGGTGGCAAAAAATCAACTGACCAACTAGAGAAAGAAAAGAATTTCCTATCTTATAAACAAGTACTCTTTTCTGAACTGATTCCTTACTTTAATGTGCATGTATTTTTTATGAAGAATTCAACAGGCATGTTTCCATAATTTCCTTTTAGGCCTTATATATCAGTATCTTATTTGAGATTCTAATTAATTGTGCTGTTCTACTATAGGGATCAGCAAATTTTTTCTGTAAAGGGCCAGAAAATATTCTAGGCTCTGCAGATTGTATGGTTCCTCTTGCAACAAGTGAGCCCTGCTGCAGTGTAAAATCTGTCAAAAGCAATGTGTAAATACATGGGCATAGCTCTGGGGGTGCCTGGGTGGCTCAGTCGGTTAAGCGACTGCCTTCGGCTCAGGTCATAATCCTGGAGTCCCTGGATAGAGTCCCGCATCGGGCTCCCTGCTCAGCAGGGAGTCTGCTTCTCCCTCTGACCCTCCCCCCTCTCATGTGCTCTCTCTCTCTCAAATAAAATCTTAAAAAAAAAAAAATGGGCATAGCTCTGTTTCAATAAAACTCGACTTACAAAGGGGCAGCTGGGTGTGCAGTCATTAAGCCTCTAACTCTTAGTTTCGGCTCAGGTCGTAGCCTCAGGGTCATGAGACCAAGCACCATGTCAGGCTCCACACTCAGAGGGCAGTTGGCTTGAGATTCTCCCTCTCTCCCTCTGCCTCTGCCCCGCCCCCCACTCATGTTTTCTCTCTCTCTCTCTCTCTCTCTCTCTCTAATAAATAAATAAATCCTTAAAAATTTTGATTTACAAAAACAGGCATGTCTGGATCTGGCCTGTGGGCCATAGTTTCAACCACTGCTCTACCAGATAACACATCAAAACACACACACACACACACATTCCATTTGTCAAAGATAAAATGAAAATAATTTAGTCTCATTTTTACATACACAATTCTAAAAGCGGATTTCAACTTTGAACTGAGACACTGCATTAATCATGCTTATACATACCAAAAGGAATATCGAAGTCATCCAAAGGCTGGGAACCAGGATGTTCTTGTTGCTCCTAAATGAATCCCCAAATGATCAATCATGATTGTAACTCAAAGACATTCATTATTTTGAAAAAAAAATTCAATAGCTAAGAGGATTGCTGAATGTTTATGTATAGGCTTGAATCCATTTGAGAAATATTTATTCTATCCAAGTAACTCCACAAAGAAGTTCACAAAACTCACAAACCAAGCAATAAAAAGGAACATTACTCATTTAATGCAGTTACTAAATTACAGTGTGCAGCTTTAACACTCAAATAGTGCCCCCACCCTATCAAAACTGCTCACAGACTCACCAATGTTACTAAATGCCTCCAGGCACGCTCTTGAGGCTTACTGAAGTGTGCTTTTAAAAAATCCTTGTAAACAAAACTGTTAGTGTTGCAAAAATAGGTAAATAGTCAGCAAACTTAGAAGGAATGTTTGAAAAGATCTGATTTCAATATATAGGTTACTTAATAAATGTGTGTGGGAAATGCTGGAGGCACCTAAAAGAGGTCAAACTATTTAATAGGAGCAAACCAAAGAACATATATGACATGCATTAAGA